ACTGTTCTGCTCCGACTGGACTAATGAAGATGGGCATACTCCATACAGTGTACTATGAGGGAAATTTTGCCTGGACAACAACACTATGGCCCATTCTTGTTTTGATTTCAAACTGTCAAGGATTCTTTTACGTGCATGCCAATGTGTACACAGAACCCCGTTTTTCCATCCCATCCGAAGGACTAGACAGCTGTCCTTTTCAGGCCTTCCATCCTACACCACTGACAAGGGGAAACCATGCCTGAAAATCCCATTTTCAATTTTATCAAACGGAAGCAAGATAAATATTCCTCTAAATTCTTGCAGCATAGATAATGCTTTCGACTAAAATCATCGATTTTATAAATATAATGTCAATCAACTAGCCTTGTGTGTTCTGAAGCAGAGCTAATTGTAAACAGACATGTATGGGTAACATGTATATATAATAATTATATATGAAACTAATCGAAGCCATCTTTTATAATAGCACTCTAAATAATTATATTAATTGCATTATGACAAACAGACGGGTATGTTATCAGATTCTTTCATATAAACTGTTTACCTAGTCATTATCTACAATTAGATACGCCAAAACTTTATTACACTAGCTTTGATCAACTAGTTGATGGTATGTATAATATGATTTATATATGATGTTCAAGACAACGTCAATGTTAATTAACTTGGTATACATGTATTAAACAATTCAAACTACAACGACCTGCTTATTAACAACCAGTTAAAGAAGCTTTGATCAACTAGTTAATAGTATGTATAATATAATTTATATATGATGTTCAAGACAGTGTCGATATTAATTAACTTGGTATACATGTACATGTATATTAAACAATTCAAACTACAACGACCTGCTTATTAACGACCAGTTAAAGAAGCTTTGATCAACTAGTTAATGGTATGTATAATATGATTTATATATGATGTTCAAGACAACGTCAATGTTAATTAACTTGGTATACATGTATTAAATAATTCAAATAGAACGACCTGCTTATTAACTAACTACCACTGGAATTACAAGTGAAATTTTTCAGTTGAGTCGTGTATATATAAATTTCATTATGTTTCCAATCATTGTTATTTTTTTATGATTTTTTTTTATGTTCAGAAGAGAACCTTGCAAGCAAGAGTGTCTTGTTATTCGGGTGGGACAAAAAAATGAGGTACCATGTATTGAGCGAAATTTCCCTTGCTCATTTCCATTAGTCCCGCTGACACAGATTAGTAGGACGTCAAATCACATTTCATTGCGTATTAACTAAATTTTAGAAACCATTTTGTGTTACATAAATTTTAGAAACCATCTTTGTTCACGATTACAAAATTTCACATCTTGTTTCAGGTTTTTTTTCGATCATGCTCAAGTGCCAAATATCCAGTCAAGCCTACCATAAATTATTGATGAATTCCTATCACAAATAGTTTTAATGAATTTCATCAACATGTCATCATGAAATTTTGTTGTTTTAAAGACTGAAATTCTCTAATAAAATATTATCTGTTGAAATGACCGCTTTTAGTGTTAAATGGCAAATAATGTGTCAAAACACCTCTTGTTAACTTTCACCCTTCCTTCCATAAAATCAATCAACAAAATGTAAACACAGTGTGTTCCTCCATTTTACATTCCAAATATTTATAAAATGCACAACTATATAACTATGAAAATGTGTTTTGAGAGAGAGAGAGAGAGAGAGAGAGAGAGAGAGTTCAATGTCCACTTGACACAAACTAGGTCATTTTGGGACTAACAGATGGTTAGGGGTCTTTAGCAGCAAGAGGAAACCGGAGCACCTGGAGAAAACGCACAAGGTTGGACAGGTGACCCTACACCTTGTCATGTACAACCGGGGAATAGAACAAAACAATATACAATGACTAAAAGTCGTACCTTCAATCACTTTAGACAGATCCTAATTTTTTCCATAGATTTACACCAGGCATAAGGAATTAAATTCAATCTTTGCAGAATTTTCCATAGTAACTGAGATCTCAAGGATAGCATAATTTCCATAGAATTTTCCACAATAATTGACATCTCAAGGACACGGAAACTGATGGCATTTAAACCTTTCAGGAATTGCATGCAGGTAAACAGGAATGTATTGATGTATTGGTACAAGATAACAGAATCAATATTTACCTGTGTATTAAATACAGGTAGATAAAAAATATACCTACCAACATGTACTAGCATACAAACAGGTAGAAAATCAATGGTGCTTAACTTTTTAATGACTGCCCACAAATTTATTCTCGAAATAAAATCAATACGAACAAACTACTGCCTTTGTGTTTATAAATCTAGTACGTCAATTATTAAACAACTAAATATATCCAGGCTATATTCATATTATATTATTAGCCTATGAAGCAGAAACAAACCTAACAACACACATGTTTATAAAAATATATAGTTGCCTTTATTGATTATCTACGACAAACAAATTGAAACAGTTATAAAAATACAAATAACTAGTTTCTGTTGTTAAAACGCGCAGATATCTTTTTATTTTTTTAAAAAAGAGGAGAAACCAGGTCATTTCAGGACTAACATATGGTTCAATCTTTTTTCATTAATTCTCTTTGCGCATATGGGTCTTTAGCAGTGGGAGGAAACCGGAGGACCCAAAGAAAACCCACGAGGTTGGACAGGTGACCCTACTCCTCATCACGTACCAGAGGGGAATCGAAACCAAGCCACTTGATTAAATGACTAACCTATGGTTCAATCTTTTTTCAATAATTCTCTTTGCGCATATGGGTCTTTAGCAGTGGGAGGAAACCAGAGGACCCAGAGAAAACCCACGAGGTTGGACAGGCGACCCTACTCCTGGTCACGTACCAGAGAAGAATCAAAACCACGCCCCTTGACTGAATGAAAGACCTTATGGTCTAAAGTGCATGTGTTATACAATTCGGCAAGTCCATGATCACCCCCACCGGGTTAATAAACAAGGAATAAGATATGAAAGACCTACCTGTAGACTTCGTTATGGTGGCCATGTTTATGGCTAAGTTTCTGTTTTTTAGGTTGCATAAACCAATTAAACAGACTCATAATATCATAGTAATACGGCATCTTATTGCATAGTTTTTCTCCAATCCACGATGTTTTATAGTATATCCTCTTGTTTACGTATCTACCTCCTATATCTAGACACAAGCTACAACTAGTGTGGTTTATCAGCACACCTTGTATCTATTGATCCACTAGCAGACGCCCTTATAGCTCCTCCTTGTAACCAACCACAAACACAACTACAAAATTAGTACAGGCAAATTATCTCTCACGCTCTCTCTCTCTCTCACATGAAGAATAAAATCCACAAAAAATCCAATCACAAACAAATCTATCAGAACCAGAAATCAGTCAGTCGTGTGAAAAAACTTAGCAAATTGGTGATATCAACGAACAAATATGGCAAGATGTCCACTTCTATGATACTTGTTCTTTAATTGTGTTGACATTCACATCCTTGTCTTCGGGTTCAGATTACAGCTGACCACATGACACTGGACATGGTTAATTGGCTCCCTCAATCTTAATCTGGTGGATGGGCCTCAACAGAGTTCTTTAAAGGTCAAACATTACTATCAATGAATATAAAAGAGTCTGGTCTGTGTAATAAAGTTTAAATAGAGATGACTCTATAGGGTCGGCCCTCACTACATTAACTTTTAAACCATCAAGTCTCCACCTACAAGCCTCGGGTTATCGACAGCTTGTTGAAATTCCACACTAAGTTTCACCTGGGAATAAACTATAAGGTAACAATTGACTGATATTTTCTCTGATGTAAAGCCAGAGTCTGAATTTGAACTTACACCAGTTTAAAATTGAAACATCCCTTTTGTGTGAGCTAAAGGAATTTCACAGATCAAAAGGCTTTTAATAGGCCATTCCCATCCAAGGTAGCCACACAAATGTTTCCTCCCGGGATCTCAAGATGGAACAAATCAAGTTGCCTGTTTGAAATGTGAAACATGTGGTGGTCGGTGGAGGATATACAGCGTCTGCTGTGAACCCCGCTGTTTGTTCTCCGTTCTTCCTCTAGTTTTATCCTAGGTTAAGAATGCAGACGGGAGTAAATGGAACTATGGGATTTGTATGGATTCAAACTTCAATGGGCTGTAAACAAATCGTTTATCAGGTTTGAGACGCGGTGAATCTTGTGATGTAAACCATGCGTCTGTTCTATAAACTACACAATCGACAACATACCCAACATATTTTACATCTTCTCTCTGTGTTTGACTTTGACAGATTATCTAAAGTCTCATCAATATAGATCTAAATTAACACTTTATATTGTCACATAATGTGACGACATGTCAACCTGTCACTGGCAGCTGCCTAGTTTTGTTAAGTAGACGAAACTGATCGTATTTCGTCCCCCACACATACACATCTAGGTCTAGCTACAGGTAGATTTCAAACCGATGTCGTTGATGAATGAATGAATGAAGTTCTGGCTCTCTGTTTTAGCCGTCTGTTTACACTGAATGAAGCAGACACACTAACTGTAAAAGGTTAACTGGGTGAAATATGTACCAATCAAATTCCTTACATAAATACACTTCAGATAATCGTAAACGTTTCTCGTTTATAAAACTTCATGTAGAAAAAGTACTATAACAATAAAATGTCTGTCCTCGTAGAAAATTCTCTTTGATGTAATGTTTGTACAGCGTGATGAATTTATCCAATGTAGGTTAAGATACAGAAGAAGCCGTCTGATGTAATTTCAACACTTTTATATTGGCTAATAAATTAGATGTTATGAATATTACCCCCATGAATATACATCTCAAAAAATTTTGTAAAAACTGTTAACAATATATAACACAGCTTGTCATAGTAGTTAAAATGCAATAATTCACGGTTTTATCCCGCCCGGTTTCTCTGTCCCATCTATAGCCACACGCAACCACAACAAATTGAAATGATGTGTGACTGTACAGGGGTCTACTTATTTAACAAGGTAGGACCTCTGTGATTGGGGTGATGTTGGCCAGGTGTCATGGCTGACTGAATCTCAGATAATAGTCCTGACAGGAGTTTGTTGATGCATGGTGAGTAAATAATGTAAGAGGCTAATAGAAAACTTTAAGATAAATATTATTGTTATTATTTCTCATGAGGTTTGAATAAATCTATATTTTATAATTTCACTTCGTCATCATAATTTATTCTTTTAAAAAAATATTGACACAAATTATCTTAAGACATTTTAATTCAGAAAAAAAATCTAAGCATTATTTCTCATGGTGTTTGAATAAATCTATATTTTATAATCTCACTTCGTCAGTATAATTTATTCTTTTAAAAAAAAATTGACACAGATTATCTAAGACATTGTAATTCAGATAAAATGAATTTTAAAAAATATATTATTAGTCTGTTGGTGTCTTCCATATGAAACAAATATTACTAATCAAAATCCCCCCCCCCCCAACAAAAAAAAGGGAAAAACTCATTTTAAATTTAAACCAGTAATTCTTCCTAAGTGTGCAGTAAAATTTTGAAAATGCGAACAACCATGTGATCCCAATTGAGTATTCACTGGTGTCTACTGATAAGTTGCGCACTCAAGTAGGAAGTTAAACCTCATTTCGTTTCATTTTTATTTCTCTAATAAAATAAAATTTAAATCTACATTAAAGGTGCTAAATTGGTAACGCATATAATTTTGTAATATGAATGTATATAAACTGATTTACATTCAATCCTTTCTGTTTTTACTGTAATTTCTAATCAGTTATGTTCAGCAAAATACGCCAGAAGTCTCAATCGAATGGTGATCTCTATTGTCTGGTTATTCCAGTCTACACCAATAGAACCGGTATTTATTGAGCATGCTCTCTAGATATGAATAGTCACCGTTTGACATGACTTGTGGAATATGTCTTGTCTCGTTCTTCGGGTTCCCTATTACAAATGGCGCTGAAATGCATTATGTTACATGATTCATGTACCAATGGTAAAATATTTATTTTGTCTTAAACATTGGATATCAGAAGCCTATCCTTTCCTGGTAAAATCACAACATCAAAGTTGATTTAAACTGACAAATAATTCATGTTATTCATGTCGAAGACTTTGGATGATATCGTGTTAGAAACTTCGCTACGTTAAAATATCAAACACACATAAACTTAACATCTAGTTCTCCTAATTAACTTCTAACAAAAGGAAGCCATTACATGAGACACACAGAGAAATATGTTTAGGATTATGGGGATTATCGTAATACCAATGGTATTTGAAGAATTTTGTAGACTTGTGGCTAATTCCAGATAAGTCGGTGTAATTCAAGCCGATTACTTACTTATTACGAGTATTTAACATTACGTATAAAGCTGATGGGAATTTGAAGATCTGCCAGATAATGTCTTACGGTTTATTTATCAAGTTTTACAGAAAAAATCCATATTTAAATAAATGTACAATTATATATTTTAACAACTACGACGCTATCAGGCTTCAAATACTATTCTTATTTACAATACACAACTGTTTTTTTTATTTTTTAATTAAATATGTATTTCAAAGAAACATGTATTAAAGATTTTATTTTAAAAAATTTAGAATATGAGAGAGAGAGAAATAGGGTTTATAGTCCACTCGACACAAACTAGGTCATTTCGGGACTAACATATGGTTCAGTTTTACTTCAATAATTCAGATGCGCGTAGGGGTCTTAACAGTGCGAGGAAACTGGAAGACCCGGAAAAAACCCAAGAGGCTAGACAGGCAACCCTACTCCTTGTCACGTACAATCGGGGATTTGAATATAGAATATAAATGATAGAATATAAATATCTAAAGGTATATTCCATTTGTCTATTTTAATAACTTTTTTTTAAAAGCGCACAAATTTTTGAATAAAAAAACAATAGTTCTGTTTTTTTCCAAATAAAATGCATTGAAAATAAACGACTTAATAGATTTCCCATAATGCATCAATGACTCAATGTAAATATTTCCCAACTGCACATTGTCAACATAAGTTTGCTCGGATTACATAAGATGACGGAAATAGTTTGACAATGTTTGGTTTGTGTGTTCTGTATTTATATAGTTGTTATATATGACAGTAATCAATGTGTTACCTGTATTATTTCACACCTGTTATTTCTTTCATCTTAGCAGGGGTGGGTGGGTGGGTGGGGTTAAGTGGCTGAATGGTTAACGCTTACCCATTGCATCATAACTCTGGGGGGTGGGGGGGTGGATGGCCAAATCGTTAGCACATACCTGCTGCATCATAAGGTCTGTCATTGAGTCAACTGGTGTGGTTTCGACTCCCTGGTTTAAGTGACAAGGAGTAGGGTTGCCTGTCCAACCTCGTGGGTTTTTTCCGGGTCTTCCGGTTTCCTCCCACAGCAAAAAGACCCCTACGTGCAATTGAACCATATATTAATCCCGAAATGACCTAGTTTCTGTCCAGTGGAACTCTCTCTCTCTCTCTCTCTCTCTCTGATAGATATTCTGATATAAATAAAATGGGGTGTTATAATGCCCTATTGATTCCAATACAAGCCAAGTCTAACGATATAAGCCATTTAATATTACAAATTGTTTATTAACCTTTTTAAATTAACCATGATCTCTTCTTTCAAATGACAAATTGGTAGGCAGTCAAACTTAAAATTTATCAGTAAATTATTATGTAGAATTCAATGTAATAGATTAGCTTTATCCAACACCATAATTCACTTTTTACCAAGAAAAAAAATGTGAAATGGAAATGCATTCTTTCTTTGAAGTGGTGAATTTTAATAAAATACATTTTGTATCAATAACAAAATATGAGTCACAGACCAAACATTCTGGTGATTTTTTATGACTTATTCATACCCCTTCCCCTTTCATTGAAATTATTATTTTAAAGAAATATAAAATTTCAATCATCTTACACATGGTTAGCTTGGAGGCATTTTGTATGAATGAACAGCTTACAAATGAAGTACTTAACTTATCTTCCACTTTCCTCCGACTCTGATTGCCTTGGGCTTTCATAAAACCCCAACCTTTTATTGACGCGATTGAAAAGGGATTAAAAAGGTTTGAAACAATTTATATGAGGTGTAAATGAAGTGTACTTACAACTTACTTAAAACCCTGATCAACGAGGTCTGTTATCAATATTTTTACTGGTCATCATGGTAATAAAAACAATATGGACGCCTGAATCAACAATTATCTCAATTGTTTTCACAGGTTTAGATTAAGATTAAGAGAAAATGGTGTAATGTGAATTCTATATCAGGTTGATTTAATGACAGGCATGTTTGATTATCTCACATTACTAGCTTAAACTTGTCAAACATAAACATTTTCAAAGAGAGAGAGAGAGAGAGACAGAGAGAGAGAGAGGGAGGGAAGAAACAGGAGGACCCGGAGAAAACCCACCAGGGAGGGAGCCGGCGGACCCGTAGAAGATGCACAAAGTTGGACAGGCGACCCCACTCCTTGTCACATACAAATTTCCCTTAAAAAAAACCACTAAACGGGGTATGCCCTTCTTCATTAGCCCAGTGAGAGCAGAACAGTAGGAGGTTAAACCCCATTTCATTTTATAACAAGACAGTACCACCTATAATTTTCACTGAAATCTTTTGATGGGTAGTTTTTTAATATGTATAAATTGTATCTTTAATTTTAGGAATTGTATTCTGTTCTCAAAGTGTGTTACTTTCTGCAACCGTTCACATTAAGTACAGTACTTTGTACTTAACAATAATTATTCAATTATTCAATTAATCAATATCATTACATTCTTGTCAATTATAAAACTATCAATCAATTTACACAATCGTACATTATACACATTCCTGTCAATTACAACCCTATCAATCATTTGTACATACATGTATTTCACAATGGTCTAATGCATGCACTTTATATCATAAAGTCTGTCATTGAGTCAACTGGCGTGGTTTCAATTCCCCGGTTGTATGCGACAAGGAGTAGTGCCGCCTGTCCAATCTCGTGGGTCCTCCGGTTCCTCCCACTGCTAAAGACCCTTAATTATGCGCAAGCGATTTATTGAAATACAATTGAACCAAATTTATATTTTAGTACTCAAAAAAAAAAAAAAAATTTGAATTAGCACATTTTTTAATAGATACATTATGGGAGATTAGATAAAGAGCTGGTAGTTCTCGCTATAATAGTTAAAAACTAGATACTGTAAAGGGAATATGCTGAAAATTTCAGTCAAATTGATCCACTCTGAACCAAGTATTTAGTGACTCAATTTTGGGCCTAGCCTTGATCATCATTACTAAAGTCGGTACAATAAAAAAACATAGTCTTGATTATCCATTTTTTGATTTAATCAGAAACTGCAGACCAGGTTCTAATCCGGTAAATATCGCAGGCTAGCGATGACATCGAGAGTTGATTATGGTCTGGATAAGTTAATTAATGTCTAATTAATAATTTAGATAACATTTCAGGCCTAAAGAAAGACCTGCAATAGGCAGATTTAGCTCTTGCATAATGTATGTTTAATGGTATTGAATAAACCAAAAATGAATTAGCATAATTTTATTTTGAAATGAGAATGAATAGTTCTGACAAAAATATTCCCATGTTGTAGTATTTATACCATAATTTATATCGTGTTACATCGACATGTCAAAACAAAGACAAATCTATAATCTGACTTAACATTCCAGGGATCAAGTTCGTACACACAGACCACAGATGACCAGGCCATGCATGCCATTCAAATGACCAGAGTGACCAGAGATTATGGAGGCAACTGACCAATGTGACAAGAAGATTAGGCTTAAAGCAGCGATGGACAGTCAATATTTAGTCAGGTTTTAGTCAATCTTGTTTTCCTATGACTTCATATAGACACACTACTTAGTGTCAGACATCAATTGTCAAGCAAGACTCAATGAGAACTAAATGAGTTACCTGAGTTTTAGGTGTCAAATGTCAAAGGTTATAGGTTATTACCTAAATTTAGATAAAGGTGTTATTCAATAATTGTAGTGTGATACCTTACATTTGATTATTTTGTGTTGACAGTAACATGATAGTATATAATTATACAGGTAATACGACACCACTAACTTTAACAAAAACAGCTACCACATCCGCATGGTAAAATCCATGAAAGAACTTAAAGATAAATTGTGGGAGATTAGATAAAGAGCTGGCAGTTCTCACTATAATAGTTAAAAAACTAGATAATGTAAAGGGAATTGGCTGGCAATTTCAGTCAAATTGATCCAGTCTGAACCAAGATTTTAGCGATTGAATTTTCGACCTAGCCTCGATCATCATTACTAAAGTTGTTACGATAAAATACATAGTCTCGATTATCCATTTCACGATTAAATCATAAATGGAAGTCGAACAGCAAATCATAACCTAATCCAATAAACATTGCAGGCTGGCGATGACATCGAGAGTTGATTATAGTCTGGATAGGTTAATTAATGTCTAATTAATAATTTAGATAACATTTCAGGCCTAAAGAAAGACCGGCAATAGGCAGATTTAGCTCTTGCATAATGTATGTTTAATAAAAAAAAATAGCTAGGCATTTGTTAAAACAGGAAGGAGAATAATGTATTTTTTTTGTATAAGCTTAATTATTTTCTTATCAAAAATGTAATAAAAATTACTTAAAAAGTTACCAAATGATATTTTTGGGACATAAAAAAATATATGGTATGAAATTAAAATGTTAAATAATCAAGATTAGATGTTGTACGAAAAATATCAACGACAATCAACAGCTTGAATGTCTTAAATATTTCAATCAAAATTACACTTTTATCTCATAAATTCGATGTTTTTTTCTTTGAATTTTACTACCAGGCACTGCCAATTAAATATCCATTTACTATATATTACAGTTTTCGAAGTCCCAGTGTGTCACTGATAATGTCATCTAGTTAATAGTTCCATAACACCGAAAGCTATAGTTCACATACAGTTGTATCTGGGGCAGTTTGAGTCAGTTTCAGGAAATGTACTGGTATTAATATATCAATCTTTTCTCTAATTTTCCTGGTTGGCCGAATGGTTAGCGTGTGGGCTTTGTATGATAAGGTCTGTCATTGAGTTAACTAGCTTGGTTTCGATTCCCCAATTGTATGTGACAAGGAGTAGGGTCGCCTGTCGAACCTCATGGGTTTTCTCCAGGTCCTCCCATTTCTCTCTCTCGCTCTCTGATATTCCTCAAGGAACTGATAAGGTAGTTAATATTTACATATACCAAGTGCTAAAGGGTTTTATTTTTTCTTCAAAGTTCCTGTGTTTGACTGAACATTGCCATCTCTTGATTGTAAACAATAACATAACAGTTGTAGTTTTAACAATTACTAACATTCTAATGTATTCTAAATATGTGCAACAAATATATTTTTAACTCTAATCTTCAAAGTATGTTCTTTTTAATTTAAACATCAAAACAGACAAGGACTTATATGTATTGACAGTGCAGGAGGATATGTGAAATGGATATACAAATGTTATGTTTAAACTGTATCTGGTATCAATATTTTATTAACAGAGACATACCAAAGTTAATAAGTTTGTTTATCATAAATTGATCTTTATAGTATTCCCATGGCTAATGATAGTCTCCTCTCTCACCTTATAGTAATAAACCTATACCCCCATTTCAGGTGAACTTTGGTCGTGACCTTATGACTTGATCTGGTCTGGAAGGGAACAATGGTCACCACAAGCCAGATGGACATTCCAAACATATTTAACATTTATAGCAAAACATGAACCATTACTCCTGCCTTTATCTCTTGACATGAACAAAACATGACAAAAAAAAATAACCAGAAAATTGTGCGGTGGTATACAAATAAGATAAAAGACTATTCAGGTTCAAGTAGCAATTTCAGGACAGTCGAATTTTGTTTTTTCTCCACAAAAACAAGTAGAAAAAATTTGTTTTTCTTTTTCCATGATCCACTTAATATCAAATCTAGTTATTGTTCTCATAGACCTATCCCCTCTAATACACGATTGTCCTTATCTTGTCATGTTGAAGAAATAGATTTATTTTTTCGTATAAAATAACATAAAGAACTGATAAATACACTGATAAAAAAATCATTCAATCCAAAGACAAGATATCATGTCAAAGAAATAAATATATTTAAAAAAACAAAACAACAAAAAACGACCACATACACAGATAAAATTATTCAATTTAAAGACAAGATATCATGTCAAAGAAATAAATATATTTAAAAAGAAATTGACAAAAAACGACCACATACACAGATAAAATCATTCAATTTAAAGACAAGACATCATGTCAAAAAAATAAATATATCTAAAAAAAAAATAAAAAAATAACACAGATACGATTCAATTTAAAGACAAGATCAGAGTAGATGTACAACAAAGAGTGTCTCGAACCCCCGCCCCCTTCCATGTTATTCTATTCACATATTGTCCAGTATGTTTTATACAGAAGGTGTCACAGTTGGGTCAGTGTTAATGACGGTTTAATAGACTAGTGTAAAAAAAAGCTTTGGATCAATTTGGAGTAAACGATGCGTAAAGTGGGAGGAGCATCAAAGGATAAGATATCTGTTTGATGTCATTGTTCTTCGGCTTTCTTAGTAAATATTATAAATAGATAAAGGTGAACTTTCTTGGGAATAAACAAAAAGTTTTAAACATTCTCGCAATTTGATGCAAATTGTTTAGTAACTATTATATGTATTTAGCCCCACAAATTACCTACAATTTTTTTTAATTAAACATTCCCACAATTTGAAGAGACTTGGTTAAAAAGCATGTAGATTAAAATTATTCTGGGAAATAAACAAAAAGTTTTAAGCATTCTCACAATTTGAAGGGACCTGTTGTTTAATAACTATTATACATACATGTATTTGGCCCCCCAAATTACCTACAAATTTTATAATTAAACATTCCACAACTTGAAGCGACCTGTTGTTTAGTAACTATTATAAACATGTATTTGGCCCTGCAAATTACCTAAAAATAAAGTGTTTATAAAAGCAAATACATAACCAGCCAATCTATTAAAAAGCATGTAGACTCAAAATTATTTTGGAGAATAATTAAAAAGTTTAAACATACATTATGCAAGAGCTAAATCTGCCTATTGTAGGCCTTTCTTAAGGCCTGAAATGTTATATAAACTATTAATTAGACATTTATTAACAAAACAGGACCATAATCAACTCACGAGGGCATCGGATACTAGAGATTTTAACTAGATTAGAACGGTTTGCCATTTAAAAATTTAATTTAAAAATGGGAAAGCGAGGCAAAGTCGCAAATATAACAGTGCCCTGGTTATCATTGTGCACTCGTCTTCTCAAAACTACAAACAGTGATATCTTAGCTCAGTATGAAGTAATTGGAATGAAATCTTCAATATATTCAATTTTACATTATCTATTTTTGAGCTATTATAGCAAGAATGGTCAGCTCTTTATCAAAATCTTACATAATGTGTCTTTAAAATGTTCTCACAATTTGAAGAGACCTGTTTAGTAATTATCATATACTGGTACATGTATAATCCTTGAGTGGCATTTAGCGATTGAACACATTAAAAACACAACACAGTTTATATGGAAATACAATCACTGGTTTATAAGTATAGCACGACGTTTCGACAAGTATTCTCTTATCGTTATCAAGCACAAATCATCATTTGTGCTTGATAACGATAAGAAAATACTTGACGAAACGTCGTGCTATACTTATAAACCAGTGATTGTATTTCCATACAAACTGTGTTGTGTTTTTCTGGTACATGTATTTGGTCGCACAAATTACCTACAAATACGCCTTAATAAAAGCTTACACCCTGCCAATTTATTATTATTTGGCCCCGCAACTTACCTACAAATGAAGCGTTTATAAGCTTACAATGCCAATTGATTTAAAAGAGTGTAGATTTAATTGAAAAATAAAACATTTACAAAGTTGATTAAAGCCACTGAGAGATTTTGAATTCCTCACAAAGTACAATATTGTTCAAGTTGAATCTCTCCCAGGAATATCAGTCAAAAACAGTTTAGTCTCTTTGGCATTTAAAAAGGAATTGCTGGGTAAAATCAGGTTGTAAGTCTAGCTAATACATCATCTATTGTTGATATTTTAGCTTTTATGTTCTTAATTAGCTTGTAATCCAGAGACAAATAAATATTGTTCAAGATAACTAAATGTTAAATCAATTGATTTGAGTATATAATAGCTTGTATCCAAGGGAAACAATTAAATATTGTTCAAACTACATGTATGAATTAATATATTGAGAATTGAAACTTATTTTGTAATTAAATAAAGAATTAAATAATAGTGGATTATTTATTTACATGTATTGTAGTGTATACATGTAATATATGTGTAGTGAATACATGTAGTATATGTGTTGTGAATACATGTAGTACATATGTTGTGAATACATGTAGTATAAATGTAGTGAATTCATGAATAGTAAGTGAATACATGTAGTATATGAAAAACGAATTGGGGTTTAACGTCCTACTGTTCTGCTCCTATACTGGGCTAATGAAGACGGGCATACGCCATAGTGTGCTATGAGGCAGCGTCACTATCGCCTACTCTTATATCGAATTCCAACTGCCAAGGGATCTTTTATGTGCATTCCAATGCATACACGGGACCTCGGTTTTTTGTATCATCTGAAGGACTAGACAGCTATCCTTTTCAGGCCCTCCGTTCTGCACCACTGACAAGGAGAAGCCACGTCGGAAAATCCCGATGAACTTTCTCGGCCAATGCAGGGATCGAACACCCGATCTCCAGACTAGCGAGCCAGCGTCTAACCCACCTAGCCACCGTGGCTCCATGTACTATATGTGTAGTAAATACATGTAGTATATGTATATAACAGTGAATACATGTAGTATATATGTTTAAAATACAGATGTGACGTCATCCTTTGATGTTAGCGTACCATTATTTCCAATAATGTACAGGCAACTTGCCAATCGTACATTATCTATACTAGATGAAATATTGGACTCGAGTGATGGATTTCATTGAAAAGCATGTGCAGGATAGTGTCTGTATTTTAGATTGTTTAATGGTCTCGAGCTAAAGACATTGCGTAATATATTGAAACAACACCTTGTGCAGTATCAATATATTACTTAATGTCTCGCTCTCGACCATTAAACCATACATAATAGTGAATACATGTAGTACATGTGTTGTGAATACATGTAGTATATGTGTTGTGAATACATGTAGTATATGTGTTGTGAATACATGTAGTATATGTGTTGTGAATACATGTAGTATATGTGTTGTGAATACATGTAGTACATGTGTTGTGAATACATGTAGTATATGTGTTGTGAATACATGTAGTACATGTGTTGTGAATACATGTAGTATATGTGTTGTGAATACATGTAGTACATGTATATGTGTTTAAATGTGAATATGTATAATGAATACATGTATTATATGTGTATAATAGTGAATTCATGTAGCATTATGTGTAGAATAGTGAATACCGTACATGCATAATTATCAGTGAATATAATTTGCCTTATGAGCAAAGCTTCGACAATACAACTCCAAAATAGACAAAATTGTTTTAATAACATAATGTATGATACTATTTCATATCAATTCTAATATTGATTCAAATTAGTTATTCATCGTCCATAAAAACTGCACTAAACGACTCAATATGATAAGAGTATGCAAATAAAGTTATACAGCGGTTGTCAATATTCATGTTAGCAATAACAATGTATATTGACAAAATTCATATGACAATGGAAGAGATATTATGTAACAGATGGGATGTATTGAAAATAGCTACATGCAAGCTGAATATGATTATTATACATGTAACTAGGGTGGACATAGTTATAGAAAGGCCTAAAATGATTATTATAACTAAGGCTTAAAATGATTATCATAACTAAGGCTTAAAATGATTATTAAAACTAAGGCCCAAAATGATTATTATAACTAAGGCCTAAGGCTAAAATGTTCTTATTTTTCAGGGTGCCAACTGCAGGGTGGACATGGAAAGTGTACCCTAGTCCTTCGGATGGGATATAAAAAAATGTCAACCCATGTACACATTGGTATGCAGGTAAAAGAACTCTTGAATTCAAGCAAAATTCTGCACCCTGCATTTGCACACATCAGTACAGTAATGAAAACAAACGTACATCGTCTCAAAATAAACGTAAAATTTCTTGGCAAGAATTTAAACCACTACTCCATTCTATTCCTGTGTATTATATTAAAATAACCAACAAATTTTCACTTACCCTTGTTTGGCCTTGAACCCAGATCTATCAGGGTCATCTGCTTTATCTGCCTGGAATGGACTATCGTTCTGGTACCGCAGAAAATCCTTATTTTCCTCTTCCCTCGATCGCTGGTTTCCTTTATTCTGATTGGGTTGATTATTGCACGCACTATTACGTTTATGATTCTGGTTTTCCATCATTTCTCTGCCTGCTGAATTCGGATTTGGACCATAAATATAAAACCCTCCTTCCTCCGCAACTTGTGAATGTCCGAAACCATTGAGTGGAAACCGATTATCATACAATGTTCCTGATCCTGATGCTATTTCACTCATAGGACGTGGCGGTTTACGTTTGGGTGTATCGTTAATACCATTTGTTGATCTAGCAGACTGTAAATTATCGTCGTCAAAACTTCTCCATTGTTGACCAGAGAGACGATGCTGGGGACTACCGCGGGGAGAACCGTTCGCAGGGACTGCTGGCAAGGGTCTGTTCACCATACGAGTCTGATGATGTCGCATCTGTCAAAACAAAAGTCAAAATGGCTGAACAATGAACATCGATATATCAAATAAGTCATTGCAACGTTATTTATACAAAATGTTACATCAATATCACTGCTAGCAGACGGTCTAGAATTCATACGCAGACAATCAGATAGTACACTCTATTTTTTATGCATAAAAATAGTTACAAGCGTATAAAACCGTACTAAACATGAAGAAACGAACAAGAGTAAGGTGTTTTTACATCTGGTTTTAATAAAGTTTTCAACACTTGGCTAAAAGTTGATTTTCAATTCCGGATGTGTTTGGTATAAATAGGGGCACTAATTTAGTCCAACCTGATCAATATGTGGGGGGTGGGGATTTTAATTATTGCTGCTTTATAATGCTCATTTTGATTAATGTTTTTACTGTAATTCTGTTACAGTCATTTCTTTGTTTTATGATTAATAAACAGGGCATTTTACACCATATCAAAATGTTTTAGTTGAGAGAGAGAGAGAGAAATGAGGTTCAACGTCCACTCGACACCAACTAGGTCATTTCGAGACTAGTTGATTCTGGGATTGAAGTACACAAATAAACACCTCCATAGGGAATAAAAATATTATAACCATCCATTGGCTGTGGTATAACACCTTTATAGGGATTAAAAATAATATAACCATCCATTGGCTGTGGTATAACACATAACATTCTTAAACCCCCCCCAAAAAAGAAGACAGCAACAGTTGTTCTGTGAGTAGGTGCTCATTCTGTAACTTTGTTTTATTATTAATAAATGACATTTGACACCATATGATCAAGATGTTTTAGTCAAGTCTTGGATTGAGCCACACAATGGGTGTTTTCACACCTGTTTTTAATGAAGACCTTAACAATGGTCTAAAAGTTGATTTTCTGTCCCCTCGTCTTATTTATTTCATTTATTTATTATTCTAAGAAACAGATACATTCATGACAAAAATACAAAAATGATGGGATTCTGATACATGTAAGTCATGAATAATCTGCTTCTTAAGGATAAAAAAACAGTAAAAATTTACACAATGTACACTGGTATATTTCCAATGGGGTTCTAATTGTTTAAGAGAGAGAGAGAATTTAACATCCACTCAACACAAATTAGGTCATTTTGGGACTAACACGTGGTTCAACTTTATTTCAATAATTTGCTCGCCCGCGTGAAGGGGTCTTTAGCAGTGGGAGGAAACAGGAGGACCCAGAGAAAACCCACGAGGTTGGACAGGCGACCCTACTCCTTGTCACGTACACCCGGGGAATCAAAAACCATGTCTGTTGACTCAATGACAGACCTTATGATACAGCACGCACACGCTAACCATTCGGCGGCCATCCAACCTCCTCCCCACCAACATCAAGAGAACTAATATTGATAAAACACTGCTTCTATAAGGTTCACAAATTGTCTTCCATAAAAGTTTTGTTTTTTAATTATCACTAAATACAACAAGAGAATATTAAAATCTAGCCAATATAAATTGTTGAAATGTTGCTCTTATTAAAGTACCGTCACAAAATTTCCATGCTTGCGTCCAAACAAATAACACATGGAACATGGTGGGTGGTTTGAACGACATCGCAGACAGAAAAAGACATGTATATTCGCAGGTTATTCGTTTGGACAAAAGAGTTGGTCTCTAAATTCAGTAATTGTATTATTTGTATTCCATAAAAGTATTGTGTTTTATTTAAAATTAAATCTTTCTATGGGAATGTGATATCAAAATCCATGAAGTGGATAATAACATGTACGAAGATTTAGTAGACATTGCAACATAAGTGATGCGATAAATATTTAGTTTTCTTTTCAGAGTTACATAAAACACAATTTTAATGGCTGATCCTTTCAATGACCCAAAACTTAAAATGACATCAACGAGGCTATAAATCCCCGTCTTATTAAGTTACGTACGATTTCGTATTATATGATTATAAACATAAAGAGTCCTACCAATCTGCCAATCGCTGTTTTTAAGATTTTCTTTTTACAAGCTAAGCTTATTCTAGATAAGGGGGTTGGGTGGCCTGTCATTGAGTTAAGTGGCATGGTTTCGATTCCCAGCTAGTGTGTGAAAAGGAGTTGGGTCGTCTGTTGGTTGGGTTCTCCCCCTCTGCTAAAAACCCTTACGAACAAGCAAATTATTGAAATAATATTGAACCAAACCTTACTCCCGAAAAAATACCTAGTTTGTGTCTAGTGAACATAAAACCCCATTCCTTTCTCCCCCATTTCTCTCTCTCCCATTTCTCTCTCTCCATTTCTCTCTCTCCCCATCTCTCTCTCTCTCGCATTTCTTTCTCTCTCCTCCCCATCTCTCTCTCTCTCCATTTCTCTCTCTCCCTCCCCATCTCCCCCAAAAAAACCTAGTGTGTGTCCAGTGAACATTAAACCTCATTCCTCTCTCCCCCATTTCTCTCTCCCCATTTCTCTCTCTCCCTCCCCATCTCCCCCAAAAAACTAGTTTGTGTCCTGTGAACATTAAACCTCATTCCTCTCTCCCCCATTTCCCTCTCTCCATTTCTCTCTCCCACTTCTTTCTCTTCCATTTCTTTCTCTCCCCATCCCTCTCTCTCTCTCCTCCCCATCTCTCTCCTCCCCATCTCACTCTCTCTTTCTTTCTCTCCCTCCTCCATTTCTGTCTCTTTCTCTCATCTCCCCCATCTCCTACTCTCTCTCTTCCATCTCTCTCCTCCCCCATCTCTCCCCCCATCTCACTCACTCTTTCTTTCTCTCATCTCCCCCATCTCCTACTCTCTCTCTTCCATCTCTCTCCCATCTCACTCACTCTTTCTTTCTCTCCCTCCCCCATTTCTGTCTCTCTCTCTCTCATTTCCCCCATATCTGTCTCTCTTTTTTCCATTTCTCTCCCCATCTCACTCACTCTTTCTTTCTTTCTCCCCCATATCTGTCTCTCTTTTTTCCATTTCTCTCCCCATCTCACTCACTCTTTCTTTCTTTCTCCCCCATATCTGTCTTTCTCTCTCTCACCCCCTCCCCATCTCCTACTCTCTCTCTCATTCTAAATCATACCCTTACTATTAACCACCCCAATTTCTACTATCATTTATTATAGTCCCTTAAATTAATAATTCACGTTAGTCTTTCGATAGTTTACCATACCTAAATCAAGATTGATTTCATGAAATCGGTTCACAAAACTCCCCTAAATCAACACTTTCCTTAAGATTGAGTTAATTCCTTGTCACTATTTTAAGATGAATTACCTGTGGACACGACTAGAATACACAGTGCTAGTATTAAAGTATCAGATATTTGAGGTAAATATGGAGTCTATTGTTACACTAGTGTTTGGTATGTCGACTAGGTGGACCACACAATATCATCTCCTATTACATATATACACAGAAAAACACAATAAACTCTCTGTTATATAAATGATAATATTACAGTCTTAATACCACACAGTATATATAATTTAGTATAACGACTCTAAATAACAATAAGATTCATCCAGAACCGAATATTTCCCCCAAATACATTTAATATCGTTTAATTCTACCCGATTGAGTAAATTCATCCACAATTGATGAATATTCCAAACAGATCTCCTGAATTCATCCACAATTTATAATTCCAAAATATCTCTTAATGTAGTTTCACAGATCACTTCAGTTCATCCACAATTTAATATTCCCCAAAATTGTTTCATATCGTTTAGTGTTATGCATTTAGCTATTCACATATTATTCCAGAATTACATGTAAGAATAATACGTCTGTTTCGTATAAAGTTTTATACAGACGATCAGATCACTTCAGATCATCAAGAATTCAATATTCCACAAAATTGTTTCATATCGTTTAGTGTTATGCATTTAGCTATTCACATATTATTCCAGAATTACATGTAAGAATAATACGTTCGTTTCGTAAAGTTTTATACAGACGATCAGATCAGATCACTTCAGTTCATCCACAATTCAATATTCCATAAAATTGCTTCATATCGTTTAGATTTATGTGTTTAGCTATTTATATATTATTCGAGAGAATATTCCAGATATGTAAGAATAATACGTTGGTTTTGTTAAGTGTTAAACAGACGATACGGTCTCATCCATTATTGATTTATACGGTAATAAATCTTGTGTTTTTCAATCCGGACAACCTTTCATTTACAACATATCCTTTCATCACTTTATCTTCTTGCTTAAAGTGGCAGTTGTCAGACGTGTGGGACGAAGGGTCTGGCAAACGACAATGTAGAGTCGATCGTATGGAACTAAAAACCAAGGTCCCATGTAAACATTGGCTTGCACCCTTGACAGTTGGAATTTGAAATTAGAATAGGCCTTAATGCCACTGGGCAAGATTTCCCTCATAGCACACTGCATGGCGTAAATGCCCGTCTTCATTAGCCCAGTCGGAGTAGAACAGTAGGACGTTAAACCCCATTTTAATTCATTTAAGGATTCAAACTGTAAATAAATCGCCTGTCACAGACATTTTCTGGTACAATCTCGACGACTGGTTCCTGTCATTTTATTGGGAACTGGTTTGTATTATACTATAGCAATGTTTTATAGATGTACAAAATGTTCAGTAGTGTCTCACTAAAACCGATCATTTCCAGGCCTGCATGATGTCATTTCTGCCATCTTAAAACTGAGATGTCATATAAAAAAGCGAATTTTATTGAAATGAAATTGAACCATATGTTAATCCCTAAATAACATATTTTGTGTCGAGTGAATGTTAAACCCAATTTCTCTCTCTCTCTCTCTCCGAAAAATAACTTATTTTTTTTATTGCCTACAAATTAAGGGAGCCACAGTGATTTAGTGAGTAAGGCGCTGACAAGGATGTTCTAGGTTTGATCCAGACTGAAAAAGTTCTTGGGAAATTCCCAGTTCCATTTCCCCGCTCATCCAAATTAGACGATTATCATCAAATTAATTTTAATAAAGTTAATTTTTGTGACAAAAATTTTGCTTTTTAATGAAAATGGTCTCTTTAAATCATATATGATCAATTTATTGGCAGACCGATTGAAGAGTTTCACCAAGACCTGAATCCTCTTCGTGCTATTTCCGATATATTTATATAAAGATAAATTATTGTTTGTTTTTCTACGTCCTCTCAATTTATTTACAAGTCATATCAAATTCTTATACAATCACTGGGATTTATTCACTCAGAATAAATGTTTCCATCTTTCACAAAACAAATATCACAAGATATCCGTCATCCGATGTAGTTATTTAATTTTACTTCAATCTTGAAGATTTACAGCCGCTGAGGGATTTTAAATCCTTTGCAAATTAAAATATTGTTAAAGTTGGATCTGTATATGGAATGTCAGGCCAAAAATCATTCAGTTCCATTTGGTATTTACAAAAATATGAGAGAGAGAGAGAGAGAGAGAGAGAGAGAGGGGGAGAGAGAGAGGGGGTTTAACATCCAGTCAACACAGACTAAATGGTTCAATTTTATTTCAATAATTTGCTTGCGCATAGGGGTCTTTAGCAGTGGGAGAGAGAGAGTTTAATGTCAGTATTGACAAAAAAATGAGAGAGAGAGAGAGAGAGAGAGAGAGAGAGAGAGAGAGAGAGAGAGGGTTTAACTCCACTGGACACAAACCAGGTCATTTTGGGACTAACACATGGTTCAATTTTATTTCAATAATTTGCTAGCGCGTAGGGGTCTTTAGCACTGGGAGGAAACCAAAGGACCCGGAGAAAACCTACAGGTTGGACAGACATCGAGCTCTGCAGGCGATATATAAACAAGTTTGTGCTAAACCAGACAGTTCCACCTACATGTATTAAGTAAAATCCTTTGATGGGCCTCATTTAAATCCAATAGAATCCAAGCCGCAAGACTGTCTAACCTTTTTAATACAATCAAATCCAAGTCTGGACATTATCTAGCATTGATATTTAGTTTTAGATTTTTAAATTTAAATGTTTAATAATCAATTTGGGTACATATTGGAATGGGTTTAACTGTGAAAGATTAGATATTTCTAACATTGCAAATGGCTTGAAGAAAAGTCAGTTAATATCCAAGGCTAGAAATAAGACATTTTTTGTCACAAACAAAATTTAGGTTTTGTAAGACGCAATCCCTCCAGTGCCAGCCATTATATACAGCATAGATTTATTTTTTTTCAGTGGTTTAGTTTTTTTTTTTAAAAATATTTTACTAGAAAAGTTCAATAGTATCTGACATTTTGAAAGGTACATCTAAATCATTATTTCTTTACGCAATTAATATCATTACAAATTCATTACTATGCCATTTAAAATCCACTTTTTGGGGGCATTTTGGAATTAAAATTTTAAGTTTCACAGTAAAGGCATAAAATCATAAGCATCTGATAAAATTATCTGTTTTAACAAATTCTTTTGAACCAGCAAAATAGTCATAAAAGAGTTACTTCCCCTTAAAAATATTTGTTCAAATATTATCTCCAGACTAAAAAAGAATCAGAAGCTTTTCCCCACCTCATCTGTATCAAACCATGGAAACAAGAATGATTGTACTGAGTGGATGCTCAATTGTTCAAGGAACAAGCTATGCCAAGTTTCATGTTGATCGTATGTGAATTGATAAGAGTCTGGGGCTTTTTTCAAAGAGTGTCGCCTCTAAGAACAAGTTGAGTAGCACTTGAGGAATAATTTCTGGTCCATAAAATCAATAAAAAACCCAGTAAAATAAAATTGAAATGAACATGTAATGGGGTTTAAAGTCCTTCTGTTCTGCTTCGACTGGGCTAATGAAGACGGACATACGCCATACAGTGTGCTATGACTAGGGAAATTTTGTCCCGACACCGGACTAGACAGCTGTCTTTGTTGGGCCCTCCATCCTGCAGCACCATTGACAAGGGGAAACCATACCGGAAAATCCCCAATGACCTAGTAAAATAAAACACTTACCTTGACTTCTTCTCGTTTGTAAGCATTAGCAGACGGGTAAGATTCCCGAACATTACTCGAACTAATGGCATTACCATTCGATAAAAATCTCCGATCTATTTCATCTTTTAGCGCCGTCACAGGCGAGCCTTTTATTTTAGCGTTGTTATGATTTATCTCTACAGAGTTTTTCATGGCCGCCACGGAGATAGATTGATGCTGATTAGTTAATGAAGGCACACTAGCAGGTGTAGAATTCCGTTTAGCTGCGGCTGCTGCTGCTGATTGGTTGATGGATGACCTAGGGTCATATGATGATTCACGACATTGAATGGCACCTGACGGAGGTGATGTAGTTCGACGTAACTGAAGAGTGGACGCCTCCACGGGAGATCGGTGTTTCACTTTATCAACAACCTGTTTGGCCTGAAAAATTAATACGAATTTCATTAAATCAAGATGATATTAATTAATAGTTAATATTCCCTGTAAACTTGTCTCTCAATATTTATAGTACACTGATTAACGATTACATATATTTAAAAACCAATAATTTACATATTAAAATAACTGGCCCGGAGTTCACAAAGCATTCTCAGAATTAAGTTAAGAATTTACTTAACTTTCAATCACTGTTCATGAGAAATATCTTTGATCCAGAAACACAAAAGTTTGCACATAGTTTCTTATTGATGTATTTGATACATTAAAACAACAAAAGTTTCATAAAGGACTATGTTTTAGTTAAAATAAGGTGAACAATTTTGAGTAAATTCTTAACTTAAGTCTGAGAATGCTTTGTGAACTCAAGGTCTAATCCAGTCTATCTGTAGATATTCAAAATGCATATATTCTACAAGTATGCATAGAAAGGAACAACACAAAAAAAAATATAATGGCATGCTTAATCATAATACACCACCACAACAACTAAAACCAGGGGTCTTAATCGTGTGAAGATTTACAACAATATATCTTTTTAAGATTTTGGCCTGTTACTTAGCTGAGAGCTAAAATTTGTGAATGGATTTCAGCTATCAGCCAATCAAAAGGCTGTATTCTTAAAATATTTCCATGAATAAGACCCCAGGTCACTTACATGTACAACAATTAACAATGGTAAACAGGGTTTAACGTCCTACTTTTTTGCACCTACTGGGCTAATAAAAACAGGCATACTTCATGCAGTGTGCTTTGAGGGACATTTTGCCCAGACAGCGGCGCTATGGAATGCTCTTATTTTGAATTCCAACAGTCAAGGGTCCTTTTATATGCACCCCAATATGTACACAGAATTTCAGTTTTTCAGTCTGATACGAACGACTAGACACTGTCCATGCCAGGCACTCCGTCCTGCACCACTGACAATGGGAAGCCATGCACAACAAGTAACAATGGTAAACGTATTTTAAGTTTTAATCAAAAACAATGCTTAGTAACATGAAAGTCTGGGTTCTATTTAACTCTAGAGATATGGCAAGCAAAAAACGTAAAAGTCTGGGTATATACGTCTACAAATATGGCAAGCAAAAAACATAAAAGTCTGGGTATATACGTCTACAGATATGGCAAGCAAGAAACGTAACAGTCTGGATATTCATGAATATAGATATATCAAGCAAGTATTATAGGATTACATTTGCATGTCAAATATGAAATAGAATATTAATTTGTCTTAAAACTGCTGATCGTTATTTTCACTTTTGGGGCCAAAACCTAATTTGGTAAGTATGTCTTCTTCTGATAGATTGGATCGGGGCTGAGATTAAAATCCCTCTTCTTCTCGTAGATTGGATAGAAGTAGAAGAATTTAAAATCCCTCTACTCATAGATAGGACCAGGGAGGGTACAGTTTAAAATCACTGTTCTTGTCATTGACTGTGACGAGAGAGCCGAGTTTAAAATCACTGTTCTAATAGATTGGACCGAGGGAGTAGATTTTAAAATCACTGAAATGGCAACCAGCAGATCTAATGTAATATTAGTTTGTTTTTGTTTTTTTTGTTTTTAAAAACAATATTTTATTCAGGTTATCTGAATGAGATTGGAGAACAGGCTTAGCCTATGTAAAACCCCTTTCGCTAGTTAAAGATGCATTATGTTAAGAATTAAATAAAGAGCTGGCCATTCTTATTATAATAGTTATATCAAAGATGCATTATGTAAGATTTAAATAAAGAGCTGGCTGTTCTTGCTATAATAGTTATTCTAAAGATACATTATGTAAGATTTAAATAAAGAGATTCTTGCGATAAACAATAGTTAACGAATATGTATGTATTTTAAGTTTTGATAATAAATAGCCGATCATCAAGTACTATTTCTATAATAATAAACAAAGTCTCGATTGTCAGGCCTTTTATTGAGCGATGTCCATTATGACATCATCCGATGGTCTGGAGAGCTGATTACGGGTTTGGCATGTGAATAAATGTTTAAATAATAATTCATATATCACATTCGAAGCCAGAAAAAAGACCTGCAATAGGCAGATTTAGCTCTTACATAATGCATTTTTAATATTATTCTGACAAATAATAACAATAAACATATAACATACATGCTCAACGCAACGTAGATGATGAAACACAACACTACAGATGATTTATTGAACTTGATTTAAAACTGAGTCAATGACCTAGTCTAGGCTTCAAAATACAACTTATTACAAAATAACAGTGGATCTGATCGATCATCTTGTCGTGGAGCAGGAAGGAGCCGGCTTTAGAATCACACACACAAGTCCACCATTACTTTACTAAATCCCCAAAATGGCTTAACATAAAAAAAAGGATTTTCTGTATAAAGGAAATGAAATAAGCAGACAGAAGAAACTAACCGTCATGGAGACATGACCTGACATCACCGTCTGCCAGCTATTTCAGACATGTTTGTTGTTTAAACAAACATTTTTGTTTGACGTGTAAACACTCCCAGTTTCCCCGGAATTCACATCAAACGATAATTCAGCTTTTAAAATCACCTACAAGTGTGATTTAATTAATACCGAAAACATGTTATATCATACGCGCTCATATCAATTGCATAACGCTATTATTCAATATTTGCGTGGGGTGTTTAATTAACTGGTTGGTGATAAAACAGACGCATGATGTCACCAGAACCTTCAGGGAGATACCGTATGAATGAAATTAATGTTCTAATTTTCTGCTCCGACTGGGTGAATGAGGACAGGTGTACGCCAGACAGTGTGCTATAGGGGGAAATTCCGACTAGGTTAATGAAGACAGGTGTACTGCTCCGACTGGGTGAATGAGGACAGGTGTACGCCATACAGTGTGCTATAGGGGGAAATTCCGACTAGGTTAATGAAGACAGGTGTACGCCATTAAGTGTGCTATAGGGGGAAATTCCGACTGGGTTAATGAGGACAGGTGTATGCCATACGGTGTGCTATAGGGGAGGAAATTCCGAGTGGGTTAATGAAGACAGGTGTACACCATTAAGTGTGCTATGCGGGGGGATTCCAACTGAATTAATGAGGACATGTGTATGTGTACGCTATACGGTGTGCTATGGGGGAAATTCCGACTGGGTTAATGAAGGCAGGTCTACCCCATACAGTGTGCTATGGGGGGGGGGGGAAGAGGGCGGGGGGATTTTGGTTGGCTTGAAACAAATAGAAATGTGGCATAAAAAGGACCTATTCGGTTTTTATTCTTTAAAGCTCAAATTCAAACACTTGTCAGAAATGCCTGTAGGCATATAAAAATTAGCTATATTCTTAAAATACAAATCTTAAAGTATTTAAACATGCAATTATTTCCAGTTTTAAATAATAAAATGAATGTTTTTAAAGCGCAATACTAATTGGGAATAATTGAAATTAAAAATCAAAACTAAAACAACAAGAGAAATAAGGGGGATACAAATACAATATGCATACTGTAGCATGATGCAGACAGAAAGAGAAACAAGGGAGATAATATGGATTGGATACTATAGCATGATGCAGATAGACATTTATATATTCATATAGAAGCTTACTAATATACATACATAATACACTACCTTCTTTGGACTATACCCCAGCAACTGTAACAATAATATAATATATGATGTGAATTTCTTAACAAATCCATTCAATGATGATAACAACGAGAAAGTCATCAACAACCTGACACAGTCATCGTCAACCTGACAATCAACAATAACCTGACAGTCATCAATAACCTGACAGTCATAACCTGACAGTCATCAATAACCTGACAGTCATCAATAACCTGACACAGTCATCAACAACCTGACAGTCATCAACAGCAAGACTAAGTCATCAACAACAACATTGCGCACCCATAGAAGGAACAGGGATTGACAATCTCCACCACCAAATACAAGTAGTGTTTGTTTCTATGGGAACACACAAATAAATAATCTGAAGAAAGATAAAAGGATGGAAGGATCCCACTTCACCTCTTCCCTTAAAGTCTCTGACCTTCATTTACATTTTATCAACAATAACTAATGATAATCTCTCAGTCAGGATTAAGATGAGGACCATCAAACGATTCTACCCAATCTAATTAAAACACAGATCCTATTTCGTTTCGTTTTTTATAGTTCAAAATTCTTTTTATTTGTCTTTACTACACTAGAATCTGGAAAAGTTGTTATATAACCAGCGCTCCAGTTGATATGAGAGATTAGTTGTAGAAACATCGAAGTCTCACGTCATACGGTCAAAAGCCTCTCGTATGACACCTGACGCAACATCCCACTACAACTGGTCAGATCTTCATGCAGTGGAGGCCATCGAAAGTATAAAAAACAAAATAAAATATAGATCTGTATTTTAATCAGATTGGATTTTACCAATGGCACAAGGTTCTATATCGAGGAAGACAAATGCTAATAAATTTCAATTCATCATATCTCTGTAAATACTGACTGGAGTTGAACTAGTTTTGGAGTAATATTCCTTTTTAGATATCCAATTTTCACGATATTGTATTTTGCATGGGAGATAGAGAGAGATAAATAAGGTTTAATGTCCACTCGACTAACACATGGTTCAATTTTATTTCAATAATTCGTTTGCGCGTAGAGGTCTTTAGCAGTGGGAGGAAACCGGAGGACCTGGAGAAAACCCACGAGGTTCGACAGGCGACCCTACACCTTGTCACGTACAACCGGGCAATCGACCCCCCCCCACAGTTGACTCAATGACAGACCATATGATACAGCGCGCACATGCTAACCATTCGACCATCCAACTCCCCCATTTTGCAAGGGATTCCTAAATCTCTCAAATGACGTTCAGAGACTTTATCTTCTTCTTTGGTGAGGAATTATAACAAAAATTTCTAAAGCAGACCCAATTACTCCACTTTAAAGAACCCTGAACAAAATCCATCATTCACAGAATTAAATCCAAAACAACAAACGGATTCGAAACAAAGACAACAAATATAAAAAGAAGCAACAAAAATCAGAGAAAAAAACACAAACAAAACAAAACAAGATTTAATTCAAACCATAACCTCCAGACAACAAATATAAAAAGTAGCAACAAAAATCGGAAAAAAACACACAAAAAAAAAAAAATACAAGATTTAATTCAAACCATAACCTCGAAACAATGAATACGATTTTTTAAGAACTCTGACACATGTAACGAACCTAAGACAGCAGGCAACAGGAACTGTTTGTAAAGTGTCATGTGTGGTGCAGTTGCATATGACATATCAGTTTTAACACGCAGAAAAAAAGGCCGAAGTAAAGATTGTCATTTGGAGAGTAAATACAGTGCACGTCACAATGTGAAATATTACCTTTCTATCAAAATTCCTATTAATTCAAGTCTGGTATTTCCCGAAATCTAAATTTTTACGATAGTTAAAACTGTGAATATTTATCTTTGTGGATATACGTATCTAAAGTCAAGAGGGTTTGTGGTGTTTTAAGAATGTATCATCTACTGAATGTATTGTACAATGTACATACATTAAGAACATTGTTTGTTAACAAGTGGTAATGTATGTAGAAATCACTAATATCCACAAATTCTTATACCAGGTAAATAAAGACGTGAGTTCAGGTATAACATGTCACCTATAATCAATAATATCACCTACATGTATAGAAACGAAATGGGGTTTAACGTCCTACTGTTCTGCTCCGACTGGGCTAATGAAGACGGGCATACACCATACAGTGTGCTATGAGGGACATTTTACCCAGGCAGCGGCACTATGAGGACAATTTTGCCCAGACAGCGACACTATAGTCTACTCTTTTTTTTTAATTCAAACTGTTAATTCCAATATGTACATGTGAACTCAGGTTCTGATCCCATCCATCCTGCACCACTGACAGGGGGAAACTATGCCTGGAAATCCTGAAGAACTTTCCAGGCCAACACCAGGAGAGACTCTGAGACAAGGCATTTAACTATTTCAAAAAGACAAACAAATATTTTAAACTCTAACAAATAATTATGTTAAAACAGCTACTTATTTGTGTTTTAGCGACATTTCAAGGACTATTCTCTCAAGCTTGATAACTTGAGAGAATACTCTTCGAAACGTCGTCCAAATATTCAAATAAATAAATAGCTGTTTTTCCATAAGTACATGTATGTGCTGGAGTTAATTGCTCTATCCAGTTACTAAATGCCTATAAAAGATTATCATAAATATTTTGAGTAAATAATGACAGCAATGCTAACCAATTGAATTGCCACCTTCCCAATCATCGGAAAACTGACGTTATTCATAAAATATTCTATTTCTTATCTCGCAAAGGGAGCCACAGTGGCTCAGTGCATAATGTACTGGCCCACTAACCATGAGGACGGGGTGTCGATTCTGGTGTTGATCAAGAGAGTTTCCTGGGATTTCCCTTCGTGGTTTCGCCTAGTCAATAAAAGACATTCGACACCAATCACAATCTGGTTAAAAAACAGATCTATATTTCGTTTCGTAATTTTTTATACTTCCGATGGCCTCTACTACGTGAAGATCCGACTAGCTGTAGTGGGAGGTCGCATCAGGGGTCATACAAGCGGCTTTTGACCTATGATGTCAGACATTTGATTAACCAATCAGCGATGATCTTCTAGTAGGATACCCCCAGTTCCATGCATCGCACTCCAAGAACTCGCTGCAACAGACCGTTTCATTGCCTTATCCCTCACGTCAACCAGAACGCATGTTATATAACACAGGTAAAACGAAATTTTGATTTATAAAAAAATGAAACGAAATAGGATCTGTGTTTAAATCAGATTGCACCAATCATATTATTTATATTGTGTTTATTTCTGCAGTGTAGAGAGCATGTTAAGAAATATTACAACCAGCGTAAGAATGTTGATAGGTATATTATAATAATGATATTACGAGAAAGATTAAACTCTAGTTACAGTTGCTGAGGATGAATGACAGGTTCACAATCAGACAATATCCAACAACAAGATGATCACATGGCAAGGCCTTAACACCCATTGGTTAAAGATACATTATGTAAGATTTAGATAAAGAGCTGGCCGTTCTTGTTATAATAATTCAAAAATAGATAATGAAAAATGAATATATTGAAAATTTCAGTCAAATTATCTTATTCTACGTGATGTATAAAGTTTTGTAGCCTAGATTGTTTATTAACGTACTTGAAAATCGAGACTAAGTCTTGCTCATCTATTTTATCGTTCAACACTTAAATGACTTTTGTGTTCTAATCTACTTAAAATCAGAGTCATCCGATGCTCTAGAGAGTTGATTATAGGCTGATTTAGCTTTTATATAATGCATCATTAAACATACATTGTACATTATGCAAGAGGTAATTCTGCCTATTGCAGGACTTTCTTTAACTTTAGGCCTTAAATGTTATATAAACTATTAATTAGACATTTATTAACATGACAAAACCATAATCAACTCTCAATGCCATCTTATGTCTCCGATTTTCGTTGGATTTGAATCCGATATGATTAACCGCAAAAATGGATAATCAAGACTTTATTAATTATCATGAAAGCAGTAATGAAAGAATTTGACTGAAATTGTCAGCATATTCCCTTTACATTATCTAGTTTTTAACTATTATAGTGAGAACTGCCAGCTCTTAATCTAATCTTCCATAATGTATCTTTAATAGAATGGATATGTGCTGAAGAATATGATTCAATGTCTACAATCTTTCTTGATAAAAAATCATTTTCAGAATGGAACTGAAGTATTTTTGGAGAGAGAGGAGAGAAAAATGGGGTTTAACATCCACTCGACACAAACTAGGTCATTTTGGGACTAACATATGGTTCAATTTTATTTCAATAATTCGCTTGCACGTAGGGGTCTGAAAACTTTAACAAGTTTAACAGATTACAACAGATTTACACATTTCCTTAATTCCAAAAACATAGCAAGAGACAAACAGGGTAGCTAAAAAAGGTTGCAAAAAAAAAAAAAAAAAAAAAAAAATATATATTTTAACATACTGTACAAAAAATTAAAAATTATTTGAAATATAAAATTATTTCTTTTAGTAAATTAGATTTGTGATTAATAAAAAATCTAAAATAAACAAGCCAAAAGCCTGGATCTCAGTGACACAGCCCAGATATCAGTGACACACCCCAGGTTTTAAGTGACACACCACAGATCTCAGTGATACAGCCCAGATCTCAGTGACACAGCCCGGATCTCAGTGTTGCTTGGATATCAGTGACCCAGCCCAGATGTCAGTGACTCAGCCCGGATATCATCAACCTAGTCCGGATAACTCGACCCAGCCCGGATAACAGTGACACAGCTGGGGCAACACACAAAAAGAATCCTTGTGGAGATAAAAGCTATAAATAATTCCCAAGCAACAAACTTGAATGGGTTGAAATTAAATTGGTTTAAACTAGGATGCGTCAATCTCTTATTTCATTTCACACCGTCAAAGTAAAGATATATATATATATATATTCGGTGTACATGTACATCTTAATTAAAAATTTCAATGACAGGCTTACCCAAACTTTATTTTTACCAACGACGAGATCACGTTCCTTTTCAGCGGCCATTTCTTCACTCATTTGACGACGCAACTCCAGGTGTTGAAAGGCTTTTTCAGAAAAAGGCGTAGGTGTTGCTATTTCATTAAGTTTGGCCTGTAAATTACGTTGCTCCTGCTTCTCAAATTCCTTAAACTTGGCCTGTTGTTCCATAACTTGTTGCTCAATTATTTCATTGAATGTAGGCTGCCTTTGTCTTTGTTTTGCATAGGCCATTTGAAAGGCATTTCCAACGATTGCATTGAGTTCTTCTGTCTGAAAAAAACAAAACAAATAGACGCTGAATTCAAATGGGGTTTACCCGTTTAACATCCTACTGGGTTAATGAAAATGGATTAAGATATATTCTATTATCAAGTTATATAATGTCGAGTATTCTATTATGAACATTGTGATGTTTCTCTTTGTGTCTTTGGGGGGTGGGAAATGAAATGAAATGGGGTTTAACGTCCTACTGTTCTGCTTGGGGGGTGGGATGATTGAATGTTTAGAACATGCACACTGTATGATAAGGTCTGTCATTGAGTCAAATGGCATGGGTTCAATTCCCCGGTTGTATGTGATAAGGAGTAGGGTCGCCTGTCCAACCTTGTGGGTTTTCTCTGGCTCCTCCAGTTTCCTCCCACTGCTAAAGACCTCTACGCGCAAGCGAATTATTGAAATAAAATTGAACCATATGTTAGTCCCGAAATGACCTAGTTTGTGTCAAGTGGACGTTAAACCCCATTTCTCTCTCTCTCTCCTTGTGTCTCTAAATAGATAGATGTTCAACTGAATGGTGAACTAACATATCTCTTCAGCCTTTGTATTTGAATTTAAATTAATGCAATATCATTTAAACTGGAAAAGGTAAAATTGATTTGTTTACATGTAAACAATAATAATATAAATCATTAGTATTTTTTTCCATACTTATGTCTAGAATCACATAAATATCCAATGATAAGAGCACAATTAAATCATAAATCATGAAGTTTTCTCCTAAAATTATATCTAGAGTCAGTAAATACCAAACAATGGGAAACCTCATAAATTATAAATCATGAGTAGTTTTCTTTTACAATTATT